TACCTCGTGGAAAGTGAAACTCTCTGAAACGGTAACTTGTGGTTAATGATAAAAAAAGAAGTAGGTTTATCCTTTCTAATTAATCACGAGTTAAATCTTATTCAGTTTACTTCCAAATGTCCATAGAAGGAGACCTCTAATTACCACAATATATTGGCTCCCAAGATTTCCGATTGGTTCCCGAATCGACTTATTTCACGGAAATGTTGTTTTATTCCTTATTAACGGCCCGTGTTTCTATACCTGTAAGGAATTATTAATTACGGGGCTAATTGCTTTGCACCCCAGTGCCCGGGATAATAATACCTACTACATTGTTAAGGTGTTTTCTTCCCTAGTACATATGACGTCATCAAGTTTGCAAATAGGAAGGATAAAGTGTATTTGTAAAGTTAACGTAAGATTCTTAGTCAATATGTCACGACTTTTCCACAAGAACGATAAATATTTTTTATACGTGCCAAAATATTCGGTATACTATGAGTACTCGAACAACGGAATTCACTCTGGGGTACTTTCCAGAACACCCCGTTGTAAACTAATTTAGAAAAGTTAATTTCTCAAATTTGTCCTACCGGAAATCGAAACCCGGGCTTCCTCATTCACCGCGCACAATGCAAACCGTTAGACCACTAGCCGTCATTAATTAATTCGCACTCTTGGTGTAATGAGGTCGCATCTGCAAAATGACAATATTTCAGGAGTGAGGTTTAAAGATTCTACGAATGAAATCAGTCGGTAACTTTTTATGTTGATAGAGCTTTAAAACTTCACATATACATAATTTTGTTATATGCGGTACCTCCAATCACAGAACAATCCTTCGGTGAACGACTACGCTCATTAATGTTTTGATCATCTCGGTTTTTTTTACAAAATACGTTTTAATGTTTTTTGTTTTCGAATTTTGTTCTTTATTTTTTTCTCAAAATTCGGGGAGCTTAATTATTACTAAATAAATTAAGGCTTTTACATTAAAAACAGAAAATGACCATTAGAATTAAGTTGGTGTGGTGTTCATTGGAGGTATTGAATGTATTTCGTATTATTTTTTTGACTTCCATGTGATAAAAGCACTTGCAGCTTTAGTATACCAAGGCTATGAATAATGAATTTGGTTAAAGTCTACTTATTCTACAGTAGTCAGGATCGCATTAAAAAAATTGATCTCCCCTAGGCACCATGATCATGATTTTAGTAGCAGAGTTTGTCCATGGAAATACTGCCACCTCACCTATTTCTGCCGCCAGGCTATCATATTTTACATTACTGCGTTTCGATAGTGAAAGTTTTTTTTATAATTATACCAAGTGACGTAACGAACAAGTCGTGCGCCTAGTGGTAAGCGACACGCCTATCCATAACAGTTGCAGTGCCACTCCGAGCTTTAAATCGCATAGATCTTAGGGCCACTGCTATTGCGCTCGTCACCCTGCGACACAAGTTGACAAGTCCCATGTGCCTGTAATTTCAGCAGCACCCTTACCTTGGCGGCAGAAATAGATAAGGTAGCAGTACTTCCCTGGATGAACTCTTTCATAAGGAGGTCTACTACTACTAAAGTACCCATCGCCCGTTACTTAATTTAGATTTCAAATTCTACCATGTAAAATAGTAGCACAACAGGGCGACGAACGCAATGGGCGTGCCACGAGATCCGTGCGACTTAAAGCACAGAGCGGCACTATAACTGTTAACTGCCTCCGTGGCCGAACGGTTACCATGCCGGACTGCCACGCAGAGGTCCCAGGTTCGATTCCCGGGCCGGGAGAAATATTGTATGGCCTACATTTATTTCTCTCGTGAGTTTGGGTGTAATTTGTGGTTGTCTATGTGTGTGTCCATGGCACCCGCGACACAGGGTTTTCCCTAGTGCGGGGCTATGTTGATTGTGAGCGTTATTATTATTATATTATATAAAGACAGTTTAGTGTTATAAATAAAAAAAATATTTTTGAATACTTATTTTATAAACATTTAACAGCATTCGACTCTTGCCATTAAGCGTCCCATTAAGTGTGCGTCGCTAGACCATGGTCTAGTGATAAATTTAACCCTGAGTGTAATCATTTACCGTGAAGAGTCGAACCTCTAACGGCTTTAGTTGATTCCGCACAACAGTGAAACCGTTGAATCAACCACTTTCGAAAAACTATATACTAACATTGATGATATACCCTGATTACTATACGGTGTGAAAACACGATTCCTAAAAGTTATCACGACAGATTAAAAACACAAAACTTTTTGAAAAACATTGTACAAGAAACGCGCGGGTTTGTTTAATAGGTACTTTGCATACACCAATCATTTTTTTACATCAATTGAACTAAATAGAATACGTATAGTATACAATATACATTTTTCAAATGGCTTTAATTTCGTTTGTAAAAAAAAATTCTGAAATAAAATCTCTGCCGCTCGACCCAAGCAAAAAATAATAACAATAACGCACACACTCGACATATCCACGCACTAGGGAAACCCTGTGTAGAAGGGTGTCATGGACACACGCATAGACAACCACAAATTACACCCAAACTCACGAGAGAAACAAATGTAGGCTATACAACTATTTCTCCCGGCCCGGGAACGAACCTGGCAACGCTGCGTGGCAGTCCGATAATGATAACCGTTCGCCCACGGAGCCAATTAAATGAACCGTATTAGTACGGGAAAAAATTTAATTCGAACTGAGGTAGTAACGAACTCTTAATACAGGGTATTTTATTGATTCGTCTAACTATGTATATTATAAACAAATATTTCAGCAACCTAACCCGATTTAACGAAGAAAATTGAGTCACCATGTACTAATCCAAAATGCTGACCGAGTTCCCTCTTTGTGTCTGAGGGTCTACCAATCGGTCCATTTATTTTTAGATGTGGTATTGTTCATCGAATATTTATCTTACATACATACGTATATTTTTTACTCAAAATATTATATTTTCGACGATTCTTGAAAATCGTTGTACGAGTATATATCTCTGACGAATTTTCTGGTACAATTTCATCATTTTCAGAACAAATATGTTTCGCCTTCGAATTTGCTTTTGTAGAAAAATAATTCAAGTCATATAATCACGATCCTTGTCACAAACTATCGATAGATATCAAAATATATATATATAATATCAAAAAATCAACATTATCTAGTCGGTGGAAGTGACACGAGATAAAAATAACCTTACAAAAGTAAGCCAAGTTAATCCATAAGACGCTTACGGTGTTTCGTAGTTACAAAATGCATCATGCTATTTATAAAATTTATGTAAAAGGTATTTAGGTTGTCCAGTATAAGAGCCCCTGCAGACTACTAGAATTTCTATCGGTCGATATTTTAATCGGGTCCTTAATCAGTATGATGATGTATGGAAGTGCGCACTTTCAAACGGTTCGATATCGGCCGATAAATAAGTAACCATTCTAATGTCTACTTTGCATTTGGCTATTCTCTTTTTCTAGATTTGGTTTTGGTAGTAGTAGAGCTTCCTGTGAAAGAGTTCATCGAGGAAAGTACTGCCATTATACCTATTTCTGCCGCCAAGACGTAATGTGAACATTATTGCGTTCCGATTTTGTTGCTTACTACCAGATGCACGACTTGTTCGTACCGTCACTTGGTCTCATAAAAAAGAAAGATTGTTTAGTCTGCTGATGCATCCAATACTCTAGGTTTCTCTTCTTGATCCTCCATTATACAAAACCAATAATAACATTTCTGGATAATTTCATTAATACATATAACTTTCACTATACAATTCAAGAACATCTGAGTTCGCTGGTTTACACACTCACCGCCAACCAGGCTATTTGGTTGGCCCAGTGGAGCGCATAGTAATAAAAAGAATATGTGGTTTGCGGGGTCTCAAAACTACATTTTAAAATACCTCAGAACTGACTGCTGCCTTGAGCAAGGTAGAAGCAAATATCAAACTTAAATACTAGGACTTAGTAGCAGAAGAGCTCTTTGTGAAAGAGTACGTCCAGGAAAGTACAGCCACCTTACCTATTTCTGCCGCCAACCAGTAATGTCAGCATTATTGCGTTCCGGTTTAGAAGGGTAAGGGTGCTGGTGAAACTACAGACACATGGGCAGTGCCCACAAGACCTTTGCGATTTAAAACTCTGAATGGCGCAACTGTTATGGATAGGCGTGTACGACTTTTTCGTCCTGTCACTTGGTTTAATAAAAAAAACTAGGACTAGGGCTGGCAAGAATGCAGGCATCATTTTGGATGCCGATGGCAATACGTTGGTCAAAGATTCTGGCCGTTTGGGTCTCGTAGTTGGTCCATTAAGTTTTTATCGTTGCACAAAAATTCCGAAAACAAGTACACACTTTCAAACTTTTGCATTGCATTGTACTAACATTTGAAATCGGGAATTAACGCGTTTAAATAATAAATAGGTATTTTTACATCCTTTTATCACCGCACGCACTGGACGAAACGTTAGAAAGACTGACACTGCCCGTGACCGCGGACGGTGCAACCTGGCTGAATCGTCGTGATAATACAATACAAAAATTCTTTATTGTACACCAAAAAAGGAAACAAGTACAATACAATTAAATTAAAAATAAGCTGTGATACAATGGGCGGTCTTATCGCTTTAAGCGATTTCTGCCAGACAACCTTTGGATGCAGGGTGGATGTGAAAATACCTATTAGATTGTTTAATCGCGTTTATTCCCATTCTCAAATGTTAGTACAATGCAATGCAAAGGTTTGAAAGTATTTTTGTTGTTGTAATTTTTGTGCAACGATAAAAAGTTAATGGATCATATGCGAGACCCAACGACCAACATCTTTGACCAACGTATTGGCATGAAATGTTAGTTCAAAAACAAGTGATAAGAAAAGACATTCTTCATAGAAAAGGAAATAATATTTCTTTAAGTTTTTGCTCATGCAGCCCTGGGCGGAAGAGTTTTGGCAGATTAATCTGTTTTTACTGCGGAATCGGGTTTAGGAAGTGGGAAATGCATGTCTTACCTTGGCGAAGTGACCTTCATGCTTGAGCAGGTCGTGCATCAACAAGCGTTTTTGTAACAATCTGTGTTAGAAAACAATTTGAGTTGCCTTAATTAAGTACCTCTGGTTTTCTCATGGATATCGCTCGCTACTCAAGATGTTTTTGCCGTTATCTTACCAAAGAAATGCTGGATAAGACCTGTGTGTCTACAAATAACAGCACTTGAGGTATCAAATGAACGTAATACTATTGGTTCATAAAACACCGCTCTTGTCGCCTCCAATTTGATATAATAAGCCTTAAGTTAGCCTTATACTATTAAGTTAATAAATGACAATGACGCATCACTGAAGTAGATAGATCTTTTTGTAAAAATGTTTGTACAGAGAAATACTGCCACCATATCTACATAGTTCTGCCACCACTGTGAGTATTAATTATTGCGATCCGAGTTTTTAGTCGTAAGGGTGTTGGTAAAACTAAAAAGGAGTACAGGGTGATAGGTGCAGTCGAAGCCAAATCTTTGCGATTTAAAACTCTAAGTGGCTCTGCAATACCCATAAATATTTGTATTTGTTTGGTGAATAAAAGTTGTAGGTTATTGTAACGATGCGTTAGCAGCTCCCAGCAAGTATCATAATTGTTAGCAGATTATGTTAAGATGTTGTACCAAACGTTCGGCTTCTCCTCGGAGTTTTCCCTTTAAATGTTGCATTTTTTGGGCCTTGTGCAACATTGTATTATTGTGTATGGCTTGAGAATACAAATCCATAAATGTGGGCCTCTGTGCATAGTCCCCAGAAAATGTAGGGATGTCGATAGCTGGAATAGTTTGGTGTTGGCTTGTAGTATCGTTTAACTTACAATTCAGATCTCGTTTACTTCCTTCATATATCTGTTCGTATTTCGTGAATTCTTGTTCGTAGTTTATGTCAGAACCTATAAGCAAGTTGTCGATTTGCCAGTGCACTCGGTCAATCACGTTCCATCGTGATTGCAAAGCTTGTAACTTGTCCAATATTTCCCACTTCTCTGTAATATTGTCCAGGATAATGCTGCGAACAACTCTCGGAAGCGCACGAAAATTGGTTTGTTGTTGGATGATCAACTCGTCGCTTTTTGAAAAACCGCCCCTCTCTTTTGTGTTAAGTTTCTCCGCCCCGTATGGGGTAAAATCACGTAATAATATAAGTGTCTTCTCTTATAGATGTTTTGTCATACTACGTGCGTTTGACGTAAAGTACTCTACTTGTCTATCTTGTCTTCAAATTTCAAGAGCTGTACGGATTTTCTTCAAATTCCTTAATGTATACGAGAAGCAGTTCCAACCGTTTTTCAATGTAATCCGCCGTTTTCCGAAACGCAGAATCCTTTTTGACGTAGGATTCCATTTTGCGGATGCAAAATAGTAGCCATGTCATTTGTTGTATGTGTAGTTTACACGAAGTTTTTATGTGACTCAAAACTGTATTTCATTGTTTGGTTCTGTGTAATTGCTTACGTACTCCACGATATGGGCACCTCCTTAATCTACCTGGTGAGACCCGCTTGTGGTAGGCACACAATCACACTCCACCAACGGTGAGAATACTCGAAGGACCAAAATGTTGGGACTCGTGTCCAAGGTATGTAATGTAGAATGTTCGTAAGAATGTATATTTCATGGGAATTGTATTACAACGTTTGTTTGAAGTATGTTCATGTAAAATATGTACGGCACCGTACTGTCCGAAGGTCTTTATTGTACTAAAAATATGCGTAATTGTACATAAAATGTAAACGCGACAATGCGCGCGATCAGCAACATATTTAGGTTAAGTTATGACATACCTACATACTTAATGTACCGCTCGTTCACATATGTACGATTTGTTCGTCACTTTCTAACCGCGTCCGTAGCCAAACGGACTAAACGGAAAGCATAGTAATATGCTGACCAGACACGCAAAGGTCCCGGGTTCGATTCCCGGGCCGGGAGAAGTATGTGTATGACATAAATTCATTTATCTCGTAAGATTAGGTGTAATTTGTGTTTGTCTATGTGTATCCATTACACCCGCGACACAGGGTCTCCCTAGTGCGGAATTATGAGTATGTTCGTTTATTTATTTATTTACTTAGTATCAAAAAAAAGAACAATCGTAACATTATCCTTTTACACACATATACTGGGTTATTTGTAAAAACCAACAACTTCGCAAAATTTATTATATTAGGTACTAACATCATAAACCACAACTTTTGTCCTTGACATTTTACAAAAAGTAATAAATTTACCAAAAAATTAAGTTTTTGTTGTACTATCTGATACTTTTTAGATCTGTATTTGGTAGTAAGTGTTCTCCTCGACGACTTCCACCCCCGCTCCTGCGTTTTGCATCAGATTAGTATTAACGCTATCGCTTTCTTTTTAACAGACTTCAAAACAAGGAGGAGGTTCTCAATTCGACTGTATGTTTATTTGTTTTTGTGTGTATGTTACGCGATAACTCCGGTATTTGTGAACCGATTTTGATGATTCTTTTGTTGTTGGAAAGAGAGTACCTCCATAGTGGCCCTATTTAATTTTGAAGAAAATCATCCACCTCTAGGGGTGGCTGTTCACGATAGAAGATTCATTTTTATAAATAGCGCCTAAATTTTATTATAAGGACATTGACTTTATAATTGTAAGTCAATGTATAAGGAGCAATTATTTTAATGGTTGATTTTGCTATTCTCCAATTCAAGGCGTTTTTCTCTCTCAATATACTTTGCGTAGTTGAGTAGTGAGAATCGATTTTCATTATCTCCTGTGTCAAGTTACGTATAGTGGCGAACTAGGGGATGAATCCGGGTTTGCGCACTTTCCGGTAACCGATTTCAATAAAACTTGGCAATAGATGTAATTCCACGTACTTTTGAGGTCGGTTTTTTTAGTACTCTGTACTGAGATTATGTTACCGCACTGATTTATTTATTAAAACGATCTATTTAAATAGTTTTACTTTTGTACGACAGTAAACTTTAATGAATTATTTAAAGTCATATAATGGAACAAACGTTTTTGTTTATGATGTTGGGAATATAGTCCCATGAGGTGGTTAGTATTTCATTTAACCCTGTATATGAAAATCTAGAACTTAGCTGAAACATGCTTTTCTTATAGTGTATTATGTGTAGCGTCCTCTGAGGAGAACTTGAAGAAGAAGATTTGCTCCCAGTTTACGAAGTTTTGCAAATGTACTGTTTTGCAACTTCCACACCAGGATAACGTTGAATGGTACGTGTTTGTATACGGCATGTTTACGGGTTTTAATGTCGTAGCAGCAACCCATATCACGCCGTAAAAGAAAGGATGGGATATTATACAATTACTATATATTTACGAGAAAATGTTACTGTTTCTTCGAATCTAGCAAACCGATGCGTTAATTTCTCAAACTCGTATCTTATAAAGAGTAATTATTCAGGAATGGCAAAACGTTGTCTTTATTTTAAATTTCTTATCAAGGGTGTTAATTTGGATGCGTTATTTTCAGAATAGGTAAAAGCCAGTGTGTGAATATGAAGGAAATATGATGCGAAATCTGATTTGTAAATACAATCCACTTTTTGCATATTAGTAGCTGTGTGCTTTAAGACACGAGTTTGAGAAAGTAAGGTGACGAAACGTTACAGTCCATACTTTTTTGAAAATAAATTTGCACCCATTTATTTGTGTAAGCAAACGTTTCACCATATAGCCTGTTCATAAAAATTCTATCTTTCGTTGTACTAATGGAAAGGGCGACAAGCGCCTATTCTTTATGTAGTTTGTTTCTTTGAGTTTATTTCATATGTTATGAAGGGTAGATGATATGTAATTGTATAAGGCAAGGTAAGCTTCTATGTTTTCAATAGGTCTGCTGTCGAACGCGGGATATCTTCAGGTTTGCTATATATTTCTAGCAGTTGATCAATGAGGCCAAGGCGTAGTAAATTGTACAGTTAAAAAACATATGGTTCAGAGTTTGATCGGCACTGTTGCGATAGGTGCATATTGGAGAATCAATAATGCGCATGCGATGGAGATGAGTATTGAATCGAGCGTACTACATACATTTAATGCTTTTCTGACACTTTGAACTTTTGTTTTGGGAGTTTCCCTTTATGAAAATACGTGTTTTTTGAGGATGAATAATTAAAATCTGCCTACTTAACTTACCTTTTTTACGATATCAAGTGACGGGACAATCAAGTCGTGTGCCTGATGGAAAGCTACTCGCCTGTCCATACCAGTTGCAGTACCACTCAGAGCTTTAAATCGCGAAGATCTGAGGGGCATTGTCACTGCGCCTGTCACTCTGAAACATATGTTGACAAATCCCGTGTGCTTGTAATTTCAGGAATATCCTTCGTAAATAAGACACTTTATATCTCAAAATTCTTGGAAAACCATCATTAAGCCATTTATACTTCCCATTATTGAGCACGGATCTCCTCTCAGGCCTTTGTACGGTTTAGGTCATTGTACGCCACGCTGGCCCAACGCGGGTTGGGGACTTGACACGTTTTCCAATGGCTGTGAACCGTCTTCAACGTGCAAGTTTCATCAAAATGTTTTCCTTCACCGGAAAGCTCGTAGTAAATTTCAAATTAAATATGGCAAATTCCGAGAAGCTCAGAGCTACGAGCTCGTATTCGAACCCATGGCCTCTGCTTGAAAGGTGGTAAGTGAAATCATTAGGCTACCATGGCTTTTTACGGCTTTTGTTTTTCTGTGAATACATATGAATTTTATCGCTAACGTAGCGATAAAATTAATCATATAGGTATATATTCACATGTAAAGAAATTAGTGCGTTCCGCTACAAGCGACAAAAGGTTTCTTTAATGTTTTTGTGACTAAGTGAAACTATTATTTTTAAACCTGTGATCACACCATTTCACAAACCTAAAATAAACATGATTCCTTTTAGCAGTTTACAGTACAGAAACAAAATTGATGGTCGCAAAAGATACGCGAAAGTTGTTCATAACGTTCCTGGTCACAAAACAACAGATAGAAAAAATCATGATAAAGACATTACGATTCACA